AAAAGGTGAGTAAAAACACCTCGTGATCGGAGGGGGGAAGGTACCTAAACAGACACACACAATATGACAGACATACACACATGCATACACTGACAGAGACATACACGCGCACACTGACAAATACATACATACATACACTGACAGAGACATACACGCACACACTGACAGACATACACACACACTGACAGATATACACACACACACTGTCAGACACACACACACACACTGTCAGACACACACACACACACACACTGTCACACACACACACACACACACACTGTCAGATGCACACACACTGTCAGAGACATGCATACACTGTCAGAGACATGCACATACTGACATACACACATTTTCTCACACTCTCAGAAATTTACATTTTTAATTTGAATCCACCCAGCCTCCCTAACATTGGGAGAGCTGAGTGGACTTTCCCATGGGTCCAGTGGGGCTGCTCACTCATCCTGCGTGCAAGGGAGCAGTCAAACTGCAACTCCTCTCTGCTCCCTCACACACTCTGTAGTGATGCCGGGGCCAGAATGACATCATATTCTGGCTCCCGGCATCACTATACAACGCGAGGGAGCAGAGAGGAGCGCAATAGACTCCTCCCTCGCACGCTGCCCCAGCCTGCCACCTCCATGCTCTCCAGGGTGGGCGGCTACAACGCTCCATGAGCTAGTAGCCTCCATACCAGTAAAGGGTAAAGGACTGACAAATCCCAGGCGCCAGGGCGAAATTTCTAGTCGCCATGCCAACCTGGTGCCTGGGATTTGTCGAGCCCTGCTATAAGGAACCTCTTTTGCCAGTACATAAGAACAGAAACGCACCCAAAAAAAAACTGTGGCAAACTGAAGAAATTATCAGCATAAAACATAAGGACATTTATTTAATTATTTTCCTGGTTTGTCTGTTTTTCGTAGCATTCCCATCTCTACACGTGTGCAATGTTGAGTTTCTTCATAGAAGCCACATCTAGGAACCCTCAAATACTCCTTAAAAGGTTCTTCCATCCATAGTCAACTGTCTTCCTTTCACTATATCATGGATTTTGTATTTTCATTGTAATTCCCTTAAAAATTGATTTGCAGTATCACTGCACACATACACTGATCAGTCACAACATTAAAACCACTGACTGGTGAAGTGAACTAAATTTTTTACAATGGCACCTGTCAAGGGGTGGGATATAAACAGCGCGCATAAGACCTTCGCCATAGTAAAGCATTATTGAATGCTTTTCTATGAGGATTACAGTGACGCTGGAGGTCCTCATGCATAGCGTGAGGACATCTAGCGTTGTTTAAAACACTTTTCGTGTTCTAAGAACACTGAAGTCCCTCTAGTGGCTGTCTCATAAATAGACAGCCACTAGAGGAGGACTTAACCCTGCAAGGTAATTGTTGCAGTTTATAAAAACTGCAATAATTACACTTGCAATGTTAAGAGTGGTGGGAGTTGGCAACCAGACCACTCCAATGGGCAGAAGTAGTCTGGGTGCCTGGATCAACGTAAATCAACGTTTCGACCGTCAAGCGGTCTTTATCAAGATGCCACCAAAATTAAACAAGTGAAATATATATCATACAATATTCAAAATATGTTAAACTTACCCAATCACTATGTAACCCCGTTAATCCAACCTTTCCTGTGTCGAAGGCCACTGAGTGTGTCCACCCGTGCGTGCATGATGACGTAATGTCAGGCCATGGTAGAAAGCTGTCACTACACACACAGTGCATCACAGCTTGCTTCATATGGGACTGCGTGACAGCAGACCCCTGTCAACCTCCAAAAGTGCTATCAATGGGGACATGAGCCTTGTGGGTGTTACTTTGACATGTATTTCCTACCTAAAGATTGTTGCAGACCACGTACACCCCTCCATGGCAATGGTGTTCTCTGATGGCAGTGGCCTCTTTCAGTAGTATAACGTACCCTGCCACACTACAACAAATGTTTAGGAATTGTTTCAGGAACATGACAAAGAGTTCAAAGTGTTGACTTGGCCTCCAAATTCCCCAGATCTCAATTGAATTGAGCATTTGTGGGATGTGCTGGAACAACAAATCTGATCCATGGAGGCCCAACCTCGCAACTTGCAGGACTTAAAGAATCTGCTTTTAATGTTGTTGTGCCAGATACCAAAGAACAGGTGGAGTCCATGCTCTTGACACATCAGAGCTGTTTTGGCAGCATGAGAGGTACTTACACAATATTAGATAGGTGGTTTTAATGTTGTGGCCAGTGTATTTGAGTTGTTGTGTTCAATTTTGGGATCAATACATGGGCTGCATATGCCATACATATTCCATACAAAAATAGTGTATAGTAATATTTGAGTTAAGCATAAACAAAAAAGTTTTAAAGGTGGCAAGTAGAGAGAGAACGTGCTTGATGCAGCTAGATGTATTATTATATGTTTAATTGCATTGTAAAATAATCAAAAAGAATGGTCAACATTTATTGAATATGTGTGCATTTGTATGTGTGTATATATATAATATAGTGTAGATTGGACTAGCCGTATTAGTCCAGTAGAAAAGATGCTAAAATACCAGAGTATTGCAGTATGCAATGATACCTTTTTTATTGGACTAACAGAATATTTCAAAGACAGGCTTTCAAGAGTTTTCCTCTCTTCTTCAGTATTGCTTCAGACATGAGGAAGAGAGGAAAACTCTCGAAAGCTTGTCTTTGAAATATTATGTTAGTCCAATAAAAAAAGATATCATTGCATACTGCAATACCCTGGTATTTTGGCATCTATATATCTCTATATATATATATATCTATATATCTCTATCGCTCTCTCTCTATCTATCTATCTATCTATCTATCTATCTATCTATATATATATATATATATATATATATATATATGATCAGAAAAAATGAGAGCACTCACTGGATTTGTGATAAATCATATTAAATCATGAGCAAGAAAGTAAATCAACGTTTCGACCGTCAAGCGGTCTTTATCAAGATGCCACCAAAATTAAACAAGTGAAATATATATCATACAATATTCAAAATATGTTAAACTTACCCAATCACTATGTAACCCCGTTAATCCAACCTTTCCTGTGTCGAAGGCCACTGAGTGTGTCCACCCGTGCGTGCATGATGACGTAATGTCATGTGACTTACAACCCGACCTGTTGCCTAGCAACGGCAAACACTATAAATGTGAGGATCGTGAGAGTTAAAATCATGCATGGAGGAGAAATTCCACTATAATCAATTGCTCATATTGAGGTCGCTTAAATTGAGCCTTTTATACATAAATGCAGAAATAAATGTGTAACCGGTTCCACATTAAGACACTGATGTAAAGCTACTGCCAGGCACTACAGTTTTTGGATGTGGAAGTGTATCGCAGTAACCAGACTATAGGACACAGATTATACAGAAAACCATCAGACCGTAACACCCTTTTACATGCAAACAGTTTTCATCCTAATGCTTTAAAAATGTCTTTACCTATTTCACAATTCTTAAGGGTGTTTAGAAACAACTCAGAGGAGATTACTTGCACATCTCAACTTCAGGATATGACCAGATCTTTTTTGGAACGAGGATACAAGCGCAATGTTTTACAGAGTTGCCTCGAGAAGGCTGAAAGAATTTTTAAAGGAATAGAAACAAAACAAAGAACCGATCCGAAAATTACAATTCCTTTACAATTCCATTCAGAAAGCCAGAGGTTTTCACAAATCATTAAAAAAGAGATGGGATATAGTATCCTTCGATAAATCGCTGAACACCATATTTGCTCAGCATCCCCGGATTGCATTCCAGCGCAACAAGAATTTAAAGGATATATTAGTGAAAACTGATACACCTAATTGCTATATCACTCAGATGGAAAACGTAAAGAAAGGTTGTTTCAAGTGTCCAGGCTGTGTCACTTGTGGACACATGCTTACAGGATCTTCATTTGCACATCCACATACAGGCAAACGGATTCAGATTAAACATCGTTTAACCTGCCTTAGTGATCATGTAATTTACCTTATTTCATGCCCTTGTGGCAAGTATTATGTAGGCAAAATGGACATGACAGTACGAGACCGCATCCGGGGCCAGAGGTCAGACATTATGACGGCCTTTCGGGATGGAAAGACTGATAAGCCTGTTGCAAAGCATTTTCTTGAGTTTCAACGTCGCTTACCAACTCTAAAATTCATCGCGATTGATCATATTCCACCATTGGTCAGGGGTGGTGACAGATCGAGGGCCTTATTACAGAGAGAGAGACTTTCTGGATTAAGAATCTTGACACGGTTCAACCGAAAGGACTAAATGAATACAATTCATTTAGCTGTTTTTTGAATATTCGTTAAAATTATTTTTTATAAGTATAGACTGCTTTCTGATTAGAAGTTATGGTTCATTTAGCTGTTGTTTGAATATTCGTTAAAATTATTTTTTATAAGTATAGACTGCTTTCTGATTAGAAGTTATGGTTCATTTAGCTGTTTTTTGAATATTCGTTAAAATTATTTGTTATAAATATAGACTGCTTTCTGATTAGAAGTTATGGTTCATTTAGAGGATTTTGTGCAATCATATTTTGCTATATTTTGTTTTATTTTGTAATATTTTTATTGAATTGATTTTTATTTGGCAGCCAATGACAACATGTATATGGTTTAGATTAATAGCAGTTGTTCTATGTTTCGGTCACTATTTCACAGAATTAGACTCACCAGGTGGTCGTTTAGTAATTTCATTTCTTTTCACATAGTGCTGTCACTTAGATACACTTGTTGCATGATTTTGGCTTTATCACAATGTATTTACATGGTTACTTTTTGACACTTTATATTCATACCACAATTTTAATATTATTCACAACATACGCTGACATCATTCACATCTCCAATACTCTACATTACATGGTTAGCATTCACATCTATACTATTCATATCACTACATCATTATGTATCCTATTCATCTCACACCGAGCGCCTGGCAATAGCTTTACATCAGTGTCTTAATGTGGAACCGGTGACACATTTATTTCTGCATTTATGTATAAAAGTCTCAATTTAAGCGACCTCAATATGAGCATTTGATTATAGTGGAATTTCTCCTTCATGCATGATTTTAACGCTCACGATCCTCACATTTATAGTGTTTGCCGTTGCTAGGCAACAGGTCGGGTTGTAAGTCACATGACATTACGTCATCACGCACGCACGGTTGGACGCACTCAGTGGCGTTCAACACAGGGAAGGTTGGATTAGCGGGGTCACATGGTGATCGGGTAAGTTTAACATATTTTGAATATTGTATGATATATATTTCACTTGTTTAATTTTGGTGGCATCTTGATAAAGACCGCTTGACGGTCGAAACGTTGATTTACTTTCTTGCTCATGATTTAATATAACATTTATCACAAATCCAGTGAGGGCTCTCATTTTTTCTGATTACATATCTGAGCTCTGAGACTGCACCCTGGTCAATTTTTTTGAATTCGTTTGAAGTCACATGGGAAGAGTGCCAGAATTTTGGAGATATATATATATATATATATATATATATATGCAGTTTAATCTATCTCAAGAAATCATGTTTCCACAACTATCCCAGAATTCCCAGCTTGACATGTAAATAAGCACAGACAAGCATTGCTTTTCAGACTTCACAGTGCATTTCTGGTAACCTGAGCACTGTTTTAAACACATTTGTTAAACTAAAGCATAGGTTGGATCCAATAGGATTAATGACCAGAAACCAGCCATGGACTGTACAGTTTTAACCTTTAGGGTCTTATCAACTTGACGCCGGTTCATGTCTGGCAATGTATAGCTAGGTGCCAGAACAATCGTGGTGAGACCAAACACAATAACACTCCATCAATGGGGGTATTAGCTTTTGTGCCCAGAAATGAAACATTAACACAGGTGTCCAGAATCATGACAGTTCTGCTGGACCAAGGACAGTTGAAAGGTACGCATTGGCTAATTGTGTACTACAATTCAACAAACTTATCTGGGTGACTACTCAATTTTTATTTACAATAATTCCTGGATGGTCCAGCTTTGGGTCCCTCTCGTCAATATATAGTAACTTACAAAAGCTGCCAGTAAAATGGTTTCAAAGGAAACTAGTAGAGAGAAATTCTGTTTTTACTAGAAAATGAAAATATGAAATGTAAAGTTGAGCCTAGAGGTAAGTTAAATCATTTTTCCAGATCAGCTATTTTAGTCTCCATTTTACCATTGTGATTTCAATGTTCTACAATTCACTATTTAGTCAATGACCCTTTACTTTTGTTTATATTATATCCTTTTAATATTGGAAAATCACTTGCCTTGTACGCTAATACACAGTTACTTGAGGATTTTGCATTAGGCTTTTCCAATAACAATGTTTAAATGGGGACATGCAGTATTAGATTGTGCATTATTTTTGCCATTTTTGAGGACTGCCTAACTAGACACTGAGTGCGTTGGGATTTTAGAAAATCTGCCAATTTGGCATTGCACTCACTTGCCATGAGAAAGCCTCACAAAAAAAAATGTAAGACTAGCAACAGATCTGTCATTCACAGATTCCTAGTGTGTTTTCATTTTTCTAAGAAATCCTGAGCCACACATAGCTTAATACCACACTGTCTGCACAAGGGGAAAAAATTAAATGAAGCTGCCATGGAATGGGTCTAAATCACTGTTCCTGAATCCTAGTACCTGTGAACCCAATAGTCAGACATTCAGTGTCTCCATACTGAGCACTGACACATGACTCTCTAATGGCCGTCTGAGTGACTGTCACTAGAGGTGTTACTAAGCAGCAATGTAAACACTGCTTTTTCTCTGAAAATGCAGCGTTTACATTGAAAAAGCTACAGGGACAGGCTATATCAGGCTTCCCTAAACTACGGCCCTCCAGATGTTGCTGAACTACAACTCCCATGATTCTATGAATGAAATAGATAGGCTGAGAATCATGGGAGTTGTAGTTCAGCAACATCTGGAGGGCTGGAGTTTGGGGAAGCCTGAGTTAGAGGAACATAACTTGGACAGTAGGCATGTTGCTACATGATTGTATGGGATCCTGGCCCTTGAATAATGAATACCCAGCATTTATAGTCCCTGGTACACACGGATGGTGGACCTAACCAACTGCTCAGAAGAATCTGTGCTTACTTATCAAATACTTTTTTAAAAGAATATAGGTGGGTTTCTATGTATAAATAAGGTGGACACGTAGATTAATGCTGTTTTATTAAAACAGAAAGAAATGGAGCTGTATATATTTTTTTCTATTTTTTTCCCCCTCCCGTTTCTGCTTTCTACACGCCTGCTTGTTTTATTAGGCTGTTTACATTGAGCCTGAACTCTGGAAGAGCTTCCCTTTCATGGGGCCCCCTGCTATAATCTGAGGTTGTTTCCTCTTGCTGCCACATTGGCTATGCATTCCTGAGCTCTGAGCAACAGCATCCCTCTCACCCGCCCTCCTATACTCTACAGAGGTGATGGCGTTATTCGACAGATGCTAGATTAAAGGATCTAGGGTTGTATTTATCAAAACTGGAGCAAATCCAGGGCAAGGTGGGAAGTTTGAGAAAACATCCTGTCCGTTTCCAAGGTAACTGCTCCTTATTTAGCACTTTTTGCTCCAGAATGCTACCCTTTTGCCTTGAAAAACAGCTTTTAAGTGCAGATTCTGTTATCACTATGCTGTGCGAGAACTACATGTTTCATTAATAAAACTATTTCATTTTAAACAATATTTCATTAATAAATAATTCATACAATTAAAAACAAAAAACCAGAAGAGTAATATCTCCCGTGCGACACTTTGTTTTTATTTGTTTTTATTTTTTTATTGTTAATGTATGAAGTCGGATACAGTTGTTATATTTTTAAACCATATTGCATTGGTAGATTTAAAACTAAAATATCCATTGCGTTATCAATTTGTTCATGCTCCAGCACCTCTAGTTACACTAACAAAGCTTTGTTTGCTCATACTGCCAAACAAATGAAAATAAGGAGAATAAGAGAATCACAAATATTATTATTTGTATACGACAATTCACAGTGAGATCACAACAATAATAGACGTTCTTCTGGGTGGCAAAAGTCAAAGCGCTCTGTTGAGCTTCTCGCCGGTGGAGCATGGTAACAAGGAGCGGTCACCATGCCGAGTGCTTTCACCCTGCGGGTCAGCGTCTCTTCCGACTAGGGAGACCAGATGTACATGGTGGATATCACCCTGGTGCTCGTGGAGCCGGAGCCCGGGGAGGAAGAGCTGTCCTGGATGGAGGTGGATGAGGGGGGTGGCCCCCGGGAGCCGGATCAGGGGCCGGTGAGCCGGGCAGTAAGGAGGGCTGCGATAAGCAGTCTGTGGCTTTCTTTGTGGTCTACAATGGATACAGCAGCTGGGATGCCCCACATTTCATTCAGGATCACCTGTGGGGCTTCATCCGCAAACAGAAAGGCTTCATGTCCCAGGAGTCTGAGAAGATGTGCACCGCCATCCGCAGGAGTTCGTGGCTTGTCACCATGCTATGTGGAAGAAACTGCGTGAGTACCCAGGGCACACTGTGTATGGCTGGCAGGGGGGGCATACTCTATGGCTCGCAGGTGTGGCACACTGCATGGCTAGCAGGGGGCACACTGGGTATGGCTGGCAGGGGGACACACTGGGTGTGGCTGGCATTGGGGGCGCACTGGGCATGGCTGGCATTGGGGGTGCACTATGAGGTATGGCTGACATTTGGCTTACTAGAAAAATCACACACAGAGTGTGGCAAAGGTAATCCAGGAGCTGCTAAGCAGGGTCGTACTCATCCTCCTTCCTGGCCCTGTGCGCAGGATTGTAAAGACACACTAGATGACCCATTGTCCTCAGACACACATAGTGCTATCATTATACTGAGTTTTGTTAATTTCCTTGTTTCCTTTGTGGTAAAGTGAGTTGTCTTTCATGGACAGTTTTCTCTTCAGGTCAGTGGAAGCCGCTCGCGTTCTGCCACCCGGAAGTATCTTGGTGCCTATTGTTTACAAACATTCTGAAATGCCGTATAGAGCCAGCAGTGCTTTCAGTGCTTTGAAATAGGTGTTTAAACCAGAAAATAAATCACAAACAAACTAGAGGAAAATTAAACAGGAGGTGCACAGAGGTCCATAACAGAGAGTTACAAATAAATGTAGCTTTACTTATACAAGCACTGTGTGTGGCAATTTACTCTGTACTACCTCAGCTGAGAATAAGACAGGTCGGGGAGATTTATCAATCCGAAATACATTCTATTGTGGAGGTACATTCTACATGGTTTCCATGGTGACTGCTCCTTATTAGCTGTTTGCTCTAGAATCTGTTTTTGTCCTGATAAATAAAGGACTAGCTTGAATTTATTTATGTATTACCGAAACAAGAAAGCTTTTATTTTACCAATGACGGGGATAACTGAAGGTAGAAAGAAGAAAATCGATTTTGGATTGGCAGCTTAGTTTTTTTTTCTGACAATCAGAATGCAGCCAGAATTCAAATCATGGTCAGTCGCAGAAAATGCACAGTTGACAATAAATAATAAATAAATTATAGCCATCCTCCATCTGCAATAAAATACAGACTTTCAGAGGTGATAAAGTTACAGATACTCATGTCCCATAAATTTAATGTATACATTTGATTATCTGCTTTTTCACATAAACAAAACATGCTAAAGCCATATTGCCTCTTTTAGTCTATATATTTTCTGGCAATTTCCTTAGAACAATGCAAAGATTCATTTTGAATAATAAAATAAAATAAAAACCTTGTTCCTCGCATTTTAGGTGCACATTTATTAACTCGGTACCAATCCTAATGGACTTACTCTATCTAACTTGGCCGAAATGGACTTTCCTGTCCACAGCCAAAAAGGTGGAAAGTGACTGAGGTATGGTACGCTGGTGTAATATGAAGAATGATATGCTTCACTGGGCTGTTTTAGTTATGCTTTCTTTATACCCTCCAGTCTCAGGAAAGCAGTGGAGCAGACGGGCCTGTCTGGGGAGAGTCTGTAGGAAGATTAAAATGTAAGGAATGTGGCTTTCCTTCAAGCCTGTATCCGGCTCATTTCTCAGCCCTACCAATGGATGGGGAAGGTCACCAAGGATTGCTTCTCTCAGCAGCCACATCCTACTGCATGCAGCCTAATCTCACTCTGAAAACCTACACTGGAAAAACTGAAACTCTTTTTTTCCACAATACAGATATATTTTATTTTCCATAGTTGTATCATTTTCCCAGCAGCATTTGCGATAAGGTCACCAGCTTTCCCCTTTAAGGGCGCAACACAAGTTACCATTTATTTCATAAAACCTTATGATATATCTTTTTCACTCCCCCTCCATAGGGAAGTTTTGCAATTTCTGAAAATATTTCTATGCTTTCTTTATGATCTATGAGGAGAATGCCTGAAGAGTGCAGTATAGATATGAAACAGTTTCTCTAATTTTACTTTAGCAGGGCAGGCCCTATGTGCGATCCTGGCTGGTCCAGTGGACCCAGGATTACAAAGAAGGGGGTGTCATTTTGTGCTCATGCCAGAGATCAGAATGCTGTTTTTCCTTTAACATAAAAAATGCTTCTCAATGCACTGGATAATGAAGTCGAGAAGGCGATCCTCCCATACGTATGATTGCTAATCAATATATCTGTAATCAGTATAATAAGTATCTTACTTTGATAGGTAAACACCTTGCAGCATTATAATTTCAATATGTAAGATTTTAGATCTAGTTCATCTAAAGGTTGAGCTGCTACTAATTCACTGCTATCCAGACCATACAGTCTCTAACGAACGCCAAGTGCATCCTGTTCTGATGAAAGATTAAAGGTGCCGGGTAAAGTCTTTGGTTTTAACTTCATCACAAGCATACACTCTTTAAACACTTGGTCTATTTTCAACTAAAACGGCTAGGCCCAGACAGAACAGGAAATTGGAGACACCGAATTTATGGGTTGTAAGGTTCATATCCTCTAGAACAGGGGTGGGCAACATGCGGCACTCCAGATGTTGTGGACTTCATCTCACATACTGTTCCTACAGCCATAGTGCTGTCAAAGCATCAAGCTGCCGAAGGTTGCCTACTCCTGCTCTAGAAACACACTGAATGTCACTTTCACCCAGTATTCAAAGACAGCTGATTTTTTCTCCATTTCCAAACCACTTGTTTTATGCACAATGGGGTCTATTCAGAAATGCAGTGGTTGAGATAACTAACATGCTCAATTTCTTCCAAAATTTACAATACTGAAAAAAATCTTCAAGTCAGCTTAAATTTTGCAGTAATCACACATCATGGCTACAGAGCAAGAAATCATCGGTGTTATTGCAAAACAACCTGGCTTTGTTTCTGACTTTGAGTATTTCTGATATCCTGACCCAGCTTTGTTTCTATCCTTGAGTATTGCTGGTTTTCTGACTCAGCTTTGTTTCTGACTTTGAGTATTTCTGGTATCCTGACCCGGCTTTTTTTCTGACTTTGAGTATTTCTGGTATCCTGACCTGGCTTTGTTTTTGACTTTGAGTATTTCTGGTATGCTGACTCGGCTTTGTTTCTGTCCTTGAGTATTGCTGGTTTTCTGACCCGGCTTTGTTTCTGACTTTGAGTATTGCTGGCAGTGGCGTACCTACCACGGTCACAGCTGCGACCGGGCCCGTCACTGCAGGGGGCCCGGCCGCAGCCACGACCCCTGCGACCGTGGGCCGCCTAGATGCGGCCCTCTCCGTTTTCCCCTTGTCTGGGGGGGGGCCCAAGACATGGCCCGCTGGCCACCTAATGGACCCCCCTGGCGGGCGGCAGAGTTCCTGTCAGACTCGGCGAGGGAGCTGTATTCTCTCTGCTCTGCCCCCTTGCATGCGGGCATCAGTAGACAGCCCGCGAGGGAGCAGAGCAGAGAGAACACAGCTCCCTCACTGCATCTGACAGGAACTCTGCCGCGCGCCACAATGAAGCCCCACTGGACCCCAGGGACAGTTCCACGCCAGCTCTCCAGGTAGGGAGGATGGGTGGACACTTAATATTAATAATTTGTGTGTGTGTGTGTGTGTGTGTGTAAGTGTATGTCTGAGTGTAAGTGTGTGTGTCTAAATGTAAGTGTGTATGTCTGTAAGTGTATGTGTCTGTAACTGTATGTGTGTCTGAATGTGTATGTGTGTCTGAGTGTGTGTCTGTGTGAGTGTATGTGTGTGTGTCTGTGAGTGTGTGTCTGTAAGTGTCTGTGAGTGTATGTGTCTGTAAGTGTATGTGTGTCTGAGTGTGTGTATGTGTCTGTCGTGTATATATCTGAGTGTGTGTATATGAGTGTATGCGTGTCTCTGCATGTGTCTGTATGTATGTCTGTATGTATGGGTCTGTGTGTGTGTGTCGGTATGTATGTGTCTGCATGTGTATCTGTTTGTCTGCATGTGTGGGGGGCGGGAAGCGTGGGGTCGGAGGCAGATGTATGGGGGGACCCCAGAGCAATTTTCGCACTGGGGCCCTGTGGTTTCTAGTTACGCCTCTGATTGTTGGTTTTCTGACCCGGCTTTGTTTCTGTCCTTGAGTATTTCTGGTATTCTGACCTGGCTTTATTTCTGACTTTGAGTATTTCTGGTATCCTGACCCAGCTTATTATTACGTTTATCTGTATTTCTTTGACCCTGACCATGGCTATTCTTTTATCTGTATTTACGGTAAACCCACCCACTCTAATGCCATGTAATGCGTCTTTCTAGAACCTCTATTTGTGGGAGTCACTATTCCTATAAGTTGGGGTATGAACCCTATAACATAGGGGTAACCTGTATTATTGGCAGAGCGTAGGGGCCTCTTTGTAATAACAATGTCATGCTGCTATTCAGTAAGGTTAGGGCAAATTTAGGTTTTGGGTATGTTTTGACTACCCCTAGCTTGTAGAATTATGAGTAGTTAAATGGTTACTTTAAGCACCTTAACCATTTTAGTGCTTTGCAGTGGTCATAGTGCAAGGAGTTTATACATACAGCATTTCAGTGTGAAATGCTACCCATACTGAAATATTTAGGCTAACTGCTGGAGGTTTCAATATAAATTTCCAAACAGTTTCAAAAATAGAAATAAAACAGGGAATCACTAGGACCCAAAGTCCAGCCCCTCGCAATCATTCCATATTTTCAAAAATATTTTTACAGACAAGAAAAATTCAGCTGTCCTAAATCACTGTTTTTCAGCACCAGTCAAGCAGCAACCCAAAAATTAAAATGTCAAATAGTGGAACAAATGCTTTAACCATACAAGTATTTTCACAGTGAATATTTGCTGTACCATTGAGTGGATGTGTTGAACATGTAAGTTGCACTCAACATCAGACTATGGCTTCAATTTAATATTTTTGAGTTATGAGTTGAAAATGATATGAGTTGAAAATGATTTAATATTTTTGGATAAACTTTTAAAATGTTTTTGGTTTTTTTAAATACTTAAATATTAAAAAATATATTCCATTTATAAAAATATATCAATATATCTGAAAAAATATCTGAATATTACAAAACTAAAAAATATTTTCACAATATTAAATAATTTTAAAAGAGTATACAAAAAAAATGTAAATCACTTGAAAAGCTTATCCAAATATATTACATTTGGGCCTAAGTAGCCCCAAAACGGCTTTTATTCCATATAGACTACACACAATATAGGCTATATCATCTATAATATGTCACCATGTCATTTTGTCACAATAGGTGCAGTTTAAAATCAGTTCATATAACAATCGTCAAATAAAGAGGTGATATGAAACATACAAATTACCTAATTTAAATAATATAACAAATTTAAGTAACATAACAGTCTAGGTTTTTATTTTTGTAAACTAGAAAAAAGAGAGATTTGTTAAAGTTATCTTTTTTTTTTCTTAAAATTGAATATTTGATATGTTTAGATATACAGATTTTGCAGGACCCTCAGCATTCCGTTTATCTAGTGTGTGCCCTATAGTTTGAAGCTCAGAGAAAGTCTGGGGAAATTCTTGACCAACTCTCGTGCTTTTTGCTTTGACT